CCTAAAGACAGGTCCTGGCAAGCAGAAGTATCCCTCTTGTGCTGTCCCCCGGGGCTGCACAGGTCACCCAAGTGACTTGCAGGGACCTTCTCATCCCAGGCACGTCTGTTCATCCAAAACTCAGCTGGAATCGCCTTCCTGTGGACGGTGTCACTGTGATTGTTTAGATGCCTTCCTCGGTAGTTGTGCAAAGCTGTCCCGAGAATTTCACATGTTTTACATGTCCCTGAGTGAGTTATGGTTGTTATTTTTTAGCAAACTCTGTAGCCCTGATGAGTTATTTAAATAAACTCACCTGTTTGGCTGTGTTGCTCCATGTGGTTGGTACGAAGGCGGGCAGCAGTCACAAAATGAGCGCTGTGGGCGGCTTTGTCCTTTAAATAAGGATTGCTCTCTGTGCCGGAGGCTTTTGCTCTCCTTTCCCCCTGGCATGAGAACAAAGATCCTCCCACCCCTGCCTTGAACCGCTGCCTGCCCCTGCTCCCTGGCACAGCAGCGTTGCGCAGCCGGCACTGAAGCAGCGCAGAAGAAACGTTGCGAAATCCCAGTGCAGACCAGTAGCAAAGGGCTGGGGCCCCCCGGGGGTGCCTGCGTCCCCTGCATGAGCCTTCCCTCTGTCCCCGTGCCGCACAGCAGGAGCTCAAAAAGCACAACCCTGGTAACAAAAGGCAAGGGGTGACCTTACGGAGTTACGGCGTGTTGTGCGCTCGGAGCGTGGATGCGCCGGCAGTGGCCTATTTCCCACACTCTGATCTTTGCTTTGAGCATTGAAAATTGCCCTTTTAGCATACAAGACGCTGCACGATCTCAGCCGGCCTTATCTTCCTGACCTTCTTGTGCCTCCTGTTCCATGGGATGTCTCCAGGCACAGGCGATTGCCGACTGCTCGCAGATGCCAAGCGGAGAGCAGCCCAGCCGCTCACGTTCACCACTCCCTTTCCACTGCTGGTTTGAGACGCTGATAAGTTTCAGCCTTACAGATGAAAAAAGAAATAAATCCCCCAATCTCTGCCATTTCATCGGCATGGCTCCAAATATCACACCTAATTTAATTGCACAAGGCAGCTCGGGATGCGGGGTAGGCACATTCACAGGTGCGCACGGAGAACGCAGCCAAGGTTCACAAAGCTGTTGGCCCCTTGGAGAGGGCAGGGAGAAGTCGGTTTTGGTGTGCGACATCTGAGAACAGACGTTCCTGTCCCTGCTGGGCTTTCTGCAGCTGTCAGGTATGTGCTGAGGAGCAGCCGGAGCTGGAAACAGCTCGTTGCTGCTCGGTGGAGTATTGGCAGATGCAGAGAACACACAAAGCGGAACGGGGCTGATGGATGCTGCCGTGGCGGCTGCTGTGCTGACAGCCAGAAATGCTTTGCTCTTCTGTTCTCGAGGTGCATGTCAGCACCAGCTGCACGATGCTCCTTAATTGCAAGAAACATCTCTGCTCAGATGAATCTCCTGACACACGGCATTTTTCTTTGTCCTCGGTGTTTCTTACACCCCAGTGCAGCAGCCAGGCCCGTGCTTAACCCACCAAGGGCTTGGCACAGGCACCAGGTTTCCTTCACACACAAAGGAAGCATCCAGGGACAGCCTGGAAAACAGCAGCTGTAAAATCCCCATTGCAAGGCACCCCCAGACTGCCAAAGACCAGGGAACTCCTCCCAAAATGGAAAAAAACAGCTCCCAGTGACCACAGCCATCACAAGGCATCACCCCTGGGCAAAGCACCCATCACGACAGCACTGGGTTACATAAACTTACAGGTTCTGTGTGCTGCTGCTGGGATGTCTGTCTCTCGGGTGGGCCCCATAAACCCTCTGCAGCCTCCAGCCTCCTGTGTGACACCTCAGCTCCTCCTGGCCAAGCAAACGCCAAAGGTCATGCCACTCGCTGGACATCCAGCTAGAGAGGGCAGGAATCACAGACCACAGCAAGCCCAGGCAAGAGCACGATGCTTTATTTATTTGTTTATTTACACAGGAAAGGAATTCCACATCCCCTCACTGTTATTACTCTAGATAAGAAAAAAACATTTGCTTCTGTACGTATAAAATAGTCCTGCAGTTGTACTGAGACATGGAAGTGTTGCTTGGATTGATTCCTGCCTTGTGTCAGAATAAGAAGCTTTGCCTTCCCCATGCCAACTTATCCCAACCTGCAATCAGCGCTAAGGCAGGAACAGAATATCCTCTCCAGCAAAGCCAGCGACGGTCTTCAATAGCTGCACTCAACAAGGAGTCAGATAGCTTTGGCCAACCCTATCCCTTCCTTCCCCCTCCTACCCAATTTAATTTGTTTCTCCTGCAATGCTGGCAGAGAAAGAAATCCTGTCACCACCCTCCAGAGACTCCAGAGTTAACAACTTTCCTTTAGCAAACCTTGCTTAAATCCAGCCGCTTATCTTTCTGCATTGCTCTTCCTAGCAAGGAAGATAAGGAGCCCTGTTAGAGGGGAGCTTTACCATATTCAGCAGATCAGTGAAGCAGAAAGCGGGCAACAGAACGGCTGGCTGCAGATCAGGAGTCTCAGAGGAGGTTTCCAGCTGCAAAGCACATTGTTACTCTGACACAAGACAGAATGCATCTGTCTTAACACCTCCAAGTCCCACTGGTGTTGGACCCTAGCACGTTTCAATATGGAAAACACGAAAGGTTTGGCCGACCGAAAAACCCGCCAGTAACAAGTAACCCCCGTTATCTGCCACGGTCTTCCGGCCAAAACACCCTGCCCAACAGTGTCCGTGGGGTCACAGCTCATCACGGGGTGTTTTTGCTACGATCATGAGTTTCGACAGTTCAAAACGGAACTTGCCTTCCCTGTGAGACACTAGAAAGAGAGAAAACAAGCAGAGGATAAACAGATGGTAAGGCACGAACAAAACAGCCCTGCTGGTTCCCTTCCAGGACGATAAAGCCAGCAAGTCGGGCATTGCACTTCCTTCTATGCACAGTACAAGCACGTTGTGATAAACCCATTCTTCCCCCATGCTAATTAGCATTTACACTGGAGTAGGACCTGCAAAATCTCGCTGCCAACTATGGATTAAGAGCACTACACTCCCGACTCCACAATGTGCACTGTCTGCCTCTATATTGTCACCTATCTGCTTTAAGCTTAAACACTCGTCTCCTGGTAGTCAGCCAGGCTTGTCTCCCACACCAGGCCCTTTCCCACATGGTTCTCTTGATCACAGACCTGTTGTTTCAGTGATTTCAAACTCTTCCTGTTTTAAAGGGACGTCGCTTTGTCCACCCGCTGCAGCTTGAGACTGAAACGGGAAGGAAGAAGTTTTAGGCAACTGAGGCAATCCAAGAAGCTTCTGTATTTAAGGCAAACAAACAGCACGTTTCGAAAGACAACAAGCTCGTGTTTTAATAATGTGGAGTGAAAGAATTACATCTGCAAAGGAAATTTGAAGGAAAACCCCTGGCTATGTTTCCATTTCCTTTAAACTACAGTCCTGTGCCCTTCAGGTGACTGAAAGCTGCATCGCTCTAGGCCAGGAAATGGAAGAATGAATTTGCTGAGATTAAACCAAGACTCCCCTTGCCTTTGCACCTGGGCAGGATGGTGTCTTTTGGAGCCAGTGACACCAGCAAAGCCAGCAGCTAACCAATGGCACAGAGGGAGCAGAAATAACACAGTGCAGGAACTCCTTTCTGAGGACGCCCTCCTGACTGCCACCACTCTCTAATTAAGGGTGTGGTGGCGTATGTTTTACTGGACAGATGCCTAATAAATGTTTTCAATGTCCAATTCATGTTGCATAGCAGCCTCCCATATGCCTACTTCCACGTGATCAGATGGGACTTACATAAGCCATGGCGTGCTCTATCTTGGCTCCTTTCACTTCAGCTTTAAACTGGGTGAAGAAGAGATAAGACTTCCCTTGGGGCCTGAAACGAGAGCAGAGTCTTTGACATAAAGAGCAGGAAAAGGCTACGCAGGAGGTGAGAGCACAGGGAAGTTCAGGCACAAGGGCGAACGCTGGCTCTCAGCTCTCCAGGACACAAGCATCTTGCTCTGACTTCCTAGTGAAGGAGCAAGTCAGGCAGCTTCTTCTAGTCCCTGCTGCTGGCAGAGAGGGTGGAGGTGTAGAAGAGCAGCAGGACTCGGGGCTCCCTCCCTCCACAGCCACCTCTGGCTCTCTCGTAGCTCCACCTAGTGTAGCGGGGTGACAGGGGGGGGGAGAACAGCACTTAGAAACCAGCACCGGGCTCGAGAGCACACCCGGAGTCACAGCACCTCGTGGGAGAGGAAAGCCAGAGCTGCCCAGCCCCGATCCCACCTGGCTTGCTGTTCCTTTTGCCTCGGAGCCTTTCAGGTTAAACAACGCACCTCCAGACAGAGCAGGAGAAGAGCAGGTCATCTTCGCTGACTCCAACGATCATCTGCCATTGCTGCAGAGGGGAAAGGCCTCCACAGTTAATGCAAATAAGAGCCTCCCACTTCCCACTCACCCCCTGCCTCCCAGCTGCAGGCACGACAAGCGTCAACCACTATAAAATAACCCGGTTACAGGACAACTGCTGATGGCTCCCTTTATTCTGTATTTCGCAAGGCACGAGGCGTGGTCACCCTCTGCTCTCCACAGCTCCATTAGTACCGTTACTGAAAAGAGTTAAAGTTTCATTTCCCTTTTGCACTAAAATAAACAGACCCGCTTTTATACAGAGCACTTGCAGATAAGGAAGTACAAACTGTGTCTGTCTGTACTGCACTTATTGCAACAGCAGCACGAGCCACAAAAACCTCCAAGCCTCCTAGAGAACACGGGATTTACTCCTACAAGGCCCTTCCTACCAACTGGGGCGTGAAATTGTCACTCTCTGTTCCCCGGGGAAGGCACACGACCTTAAACCTTGCAAATGCCACGGCCTTGGAACCACACCATGGGGGCACGAAGGTCGCTTCCATTCAAGAAGCGAATCCAACAGAGCTCCTTTTGCAAACGTGCAGCGTTGGAAATGCTGCAGCCACCCTCCCTCACAGCTCCTGGGCCCTAGAATCAGCTGATTGTAAAGGAAACCACTTCCTCTCCGGAGAAAAAGAAGTTTCTTGTCCAGGCCACAAATTAAACCAAGGGAACAGGACGATGACTGACCAAAGGAGGCTTGGGGCAGAACAGCAGCCTTTTATCTCTGCATCCACATCCTTCCCAGTCACCACCGGTGTCAACACAGATATCCTGAATGTTTTTTTTTTTATTCTGTGCAGCCACAGGGCCTAAGGGTAAGGGAACCATTTGAAGGCTTGCCTGACTCACCTCGTTCGTTCCTCCCTGAGCAGAGTACGTGAAGGTGCAGGTGTAACCTCCCTGTGAAAAGAGCAGACCAGCAGCCTTGTTAGAGCGGGACGCTCCGTGTGGGCAACAGTTTGCTCAGAGCAGGCAAATTCTCAGCCACGCCACGAGATCTGGGAACACCTGAGAGCATGACGGGGGCTGCGGGCACGGTGCAGCCTGTGGCGGTCTCGCCATGGGGGTGACACGAGGAGGAGCACCCCCCGGCTGTGTGGCTGGGGTGCTGGTTGGGGCTGCGAGGCCCTTGTCCCGTGGGGTGAGCTGTGGGGTGAGCTATGGGGTGAGCTATGGGGTACCAGCAAGACCTCGCGGTGTTGGAGTGGGGACTTACAGCTCAGGGGGGGCTCAGGGACCTGCCCCCCCCTTCCCCACACAGCCCCGTCCCCTTGGCGAGCCTCTTTCCCCTGGGACTCCCCCTTCCTCTTCCTGGCCACCCCCTTCCCCTCACCACCCCCTGCCTTCCCTGGGGGCACCTCCTCCCGTTGGAAGCCCCTTACCTCGGGCCCCCCCTTCTCGGGGGACACCTTCCCGGGGCGCCTCCTGCCCCCCCCCCCCCCCGGGGCCCATTTTCCTTGGGGACCCTCCCTGGGCCCCCCCCTTCTCCTTTGGGGTCCCCATTCCCGGGGGGGGGCTCCCTTCCTCCTGGGCCCCCCCAGCCTCTGCAGAGCCCCCCGGGGACCCCCAAATTCCCCAGCCTCCCCCCCATGGGCCGGGGACCCCCCCCAATTCCCCAGCCCCCCCCTTTATGGGCCGCCCCCCCCCAGCCGCTCCCATAGCAACCAGCCCGGACCCCCCCCTCACCCCCCTCGTCCCGCCTCCCCTCGTTGTCAGCCAATCCCCGCGCGGGGTCGGAAGATTGACGTGCGCCCCCGCCAATCGGGGCGAGGCGCGTACCCTCTCCTCTCCCCGGCCCTCACCAGGCTCCGGGAGAAGGAGTGCACCTCCCCGCCGGGCCTCACGTCGAATTCGGCGGTGCTCGGGCCCTCGGCGGCCCGGGCCCCCAGCCACAGGAGGGCGGCGGCGGCCACCACCGCGCCCCACAGCCCCCGGCCGCTCCTCCCGCTGGGCGCCGCCATCTTGGCCAGGAAGCCCGCGCTACGGCGGCCGGGAGGGCTCAAGGCGGGCTCCTGGCGCTCGGCGGACGCCGCGGCGGCCATCTTGGGTGTGGGCAGGGCGTGGGGGAGGGGGGGAAATGGGGAAGGGATTGTGGGGACAAGGGGACATGGAGGGGACATGGAGGAGTTGGGTAGGGGACAAGGGGACAGTGGCCACCTCACAGTGCCCTCTGGGGCCAATATGGACCCCGGGCTGCGGCCTTAGGGCAGCCCTGGGGGGTTTAGGGCAGCTGTGGGACCCCCTCAGCCCAGCCTGGCACCCTCCTGAGGCACCAAAGCCCCGCATGGGGAACCAAGGGGTTGGCAATAAGCAGCAGCATGAGGGAGGTTCGGTTTCTGCCTCGTCATGGAGGTTTGCTTCAGTAAAGACCTGTTTTTAAGAGCTGGGCTTGTAGGGGTCAAGCAGAAGTGGAGGCACGGTCAGAGGATCAAGTCCTGGTTGTGGGGTTTGGGAGTTCGGTGGAAGGAAAAGGGGCACCGGGAAGGGAACAAGGCAGAGAAAGCTCCGAGCACCGAGCAAAAAGGAGCCTTGGCTTTCCCAGCAGGGAAAGAAAAGTACCAGCTGCACCAGCCGTGCTGAGGCAGCCAAAGCCCACCTGCCCCCTTTTGCAGACAACAGAGTGATCAGCCGGGCCACTTTTAATTGCTTCTCCCCATGTACAAACAGAAACCCCTTCCCGAAGGACCCGGCTCTGTCCCTGCAGCCAGGCAGGACAAGGATGCATGGTGACGGCTGCCTTCTGCCCCGTGCTCCAGCCCAGGAGGCTCAGAGCAGAGGAAAGCTGGCCTGGCTGGCCACCCCGCAGTGGTTGTCGGCGCCCTTCAGCAGGCGGATGTAGCCCTGCTCGCCCCACGCCTCGGACCAGCTGCAGGAAGAGACAAAGAATTGAGCACATCTGCGTTCCCACGCGGGGAAAACTGGCCCCGTTGAGGGAGGGCAAGCAGAGGGAGAGGGCAGGAGCACAGGAGAGTCCCATGGGATGGGGACAGTCCTGTTGTGTCCCCTCCCTGCCTGGCTCTGAGCTCACACAGGAGCCCCAGCAGGAGGGGAGGACGGGCCATGCCCGGGGGTGAGAGGGGCAGCAGGTCTGGGAGCACCTCCACCCCTACCTGTTCTTTAGGATCCAGTAGCTCACGTTCTTCCCGCCCTCCTGGCTGGTGCCATAGCCCACGGCCAGCATCCCGTGGTTCACCTGGTGGCTGCAAAACATGCTGCTGAAGACACCTGGGAAGAGCAGAAATGGGGTGAGCCGGGGGTTGGCCCCAATGGCTTAATTTCCAGGCAAAAGCAGCGTGGCTGATCCTATTCCCCTGGACATTCCCCTATTGAGCTCAGCGAGGTAACCCTGCCTCAGTTTACCCATCCCCACTCCTCCAGGTGAAGAGGGAGGTGGTACCTGACTTGTAGAAGTGAAAGAAGAACCCACTGGCATCCACCGCCACAGACACAGGACCCACAGTCGCCACCGCCTGCTCCAGCGCCGCCTCGCTGCCCTCGGCCACCAGCCAGATGGTGGAGCAGTTGGCCGCCCTGTCCTGGGGGTTGTACCTGCAGCTGGACGTGTCCTGAAAACGGGGAGAGAAGACCACCGGGGCTGAGGACCCACGGGCACGGCTCTGCCCGCGTCCCCACCCTCCTGCCCGCCACCCCTTACCGTGGCCAGGTAGGGGTAGATGTGCTCCGAGTTCAAGCCGCCGTTCTCACGCACGTACTGGAAGGCGCGGGTCATGTAGCCGCCGTGGCAGCCATTGTTGCCCAGCTTCCGAGAGCAGTCGATGAGGTTCTGTTCGCTCAGCACCACCAGCTTCCCCGTCCGGTTGAAGACGAGGCCCTCCAGGGCCCCCGTGGCGCTGAACGCCCAGCACGACCCGCAGTGCCCCTGGGTGAGATGAGGGGGGGGGGGGTGTCACAGCATCCCCCAAAAAGCTGACGGAGGGGGGCACGCCGTGCTCTGGATTGCCCAGAGGATTTCTGGCGCTTTGGAGGATGCAGCCTCCTATTTCTGCTGTCCCCCCCATGCCCACCTGGTTCTTCACAGGTGTCACGTAGCCCTTAGCCCTCCAGTCCACCTCTGCCGGCGTCTTCAGAGCTGGCGATGCCTGGAAGAGCAGCGGGGGCTCCTCCTGCTGCGCTGGGGTGAAGCCGTTCAGGAGCTGGTTGAACTCCTCGTCCGTCTGCGGGTTGCACATGCGTGTGAGCAGGGCTGCAGCCCGAGAATCGGCCCAACGCCAGGGACACCAGCACCCCCAGGATGGGATGGGTGTCCCCAGACCCTGGCTTGAGCCCCGGGTGCCTCAAGGGGCCCCCAGTCCCCGGAGGAGGTGCCGAGCTCAACTACCATGTCCCCGTAGTGGTTCATGGCCAGGCGGAAGGTGTGCTGCCCCCGGGCCTCCTCGCGGTTGTGCTGCTCGATGCGCCGCAGGTTCTTCTCCCAAACCTCCCTGCGGACAGCCTCAGCCTCCTGCCGAGGGGCAGAGCAGCCCGGGGTCAGGAACAGCCCCTCCAGGAGTACCAGAGGGGACACGTTGGGTGCAGACCCCTCTGGAGCTGGCCCCAGCACGTGCACCGAGGCTTGAGGAGCAGAGGAGCTGGCCCCATGCGGACCTACCCTGCTGTACTCCTTGGCGTAGAGGCTCTTCCAGCCTTCCCACGCCTCCTCCAGGGCAAGGTCCAGCGCCGTGCTGCAGCCCAGCAGGGCCAGCAGCAGCCCCAGCACCACCGCCATGGTCTGGGGGGGAAGGAGAGCGGGCTGGGGGTGGTCCAGGGCAGAGCCCCCCCCCATCACCCCATGGCCGGGGCAGGCTGAGTCTTTGCAAGTGTGGATTAAAGCTGAGGGGGAGGAGGAGAAATGCAAACAGAGCGGCTGAGCCAGGGGAAGGCAAGAGGCACGTTTGGTCCTTTGGCTGGAGCAGCCCTCGCATGGACGCGTTTGCTGTTTTGACAGGAGCTTTAGGAGGTCTTAGCTGTCCTTTTGGTGGTATTTAACTGTCCTTTTTAGGAGAGGAACGAACAGCTTCGCGAGACACCAGAGCCCCTTCCTGCTCCCCGGATGGCAGAGCAAGGCAAACACAGACACAAGGCAGCAGGAGGGGCAGGGATGGCAGACACTGGAGGTGTCCCCAGCTGCCACCGCGCATCAAACCCCCCCTTGAACCACCACAAACCCTTTTTATTTGCAACCCTGCTGATGTAGGGCTGCCCCCCTTTTCTCTGCTATCTGTCCCTTGCTTCCTCCCTTGCTGCAGCAGCATCCACCCGGCTGTTGGCTGCACGGCTGGCACCGAGCACACCTCACTGCCTCTGCTAGGGGACTCAGCACCAAGCAGGCTCAGGCCCCAGGTGGAGCAGAGCAGGATTTGCTGCACGGGGACAGCTCCAGAACAACGTTTGCCTCCTGGCTGGAGGGCCACAGAGCCCTGAAAACAACACGAGCACCAGGGAGGGAGATATCTGCACTGCTTTTTGATAAGGAAGGCAGAAACCTTTCCCCAGGCCACAGCTTTTGCAACCCCTTTGGAAGCCCTTTCCTCTGGCTGGCCAAGGGCTCAGCCTCTAAGCTCTGAGCTGGAGCAGCTCTAGGACTTGATACAAAACAGAAGAGCCCCGAGGAGCACAAGCTGGGGCTGCTGGGTGGGGCTGGGGCTGTTTTCACTCGAGAGCCGACAGAAATCTGCTCCGGCCTCCAAGCAAGGGGCTCGAGCTGGAATCAGAGATAAGGTTTTTTTTTTTTTTTTTTTTTTTTTTTTTTTTTGCAGATGGGGAGGCAGAGGAGCAGGGGCAGCACGCTGTGAGGATTACACACTGGGACGAGCAGCGATCCCTGCTCCACGCCGATGACTGAAGCCTCGCATCTGTCCCAGCTCGAAGGCTGCAAGCCCGCGTGCTTCGCCAGAATCCCTCGGCGAGGATTTTCCACTATCAGGTTACACCCTGCTTTTTTGCAGCCTCACTCACGCAGCCCTCCCCCGGCCCCCCGCCAGCGCAGCCATTTGTCTTCCTCCCGGGCCTTTGATAGAGCGTGGTATTCCCGAGCAACTCCAGCAATCCTGCAGGACCCCACGACCCTCCCGACAGAGAGCCAACCCTGCCCGAGACACGGCTCCCAACCCAAGGAGCAGTTTCAAGGCACTGACGTCGCCTTGAAAGAGTGAGAGCCAGTGTCGCACCTCCGTTCCCCACCCTGTGGGAAGGGAGATGCTGGGAAGTTTTCCATTTGAGCATCTTTCAGGGGGACGGTGGCTTTCTGAGCTAATTTTGTAGCGCAAGCAGTGTGTTTTTTTTTTTTGTTTCAAAATAAGTCATCGGGAACATCTGCTCTCCTCCACATCCTCTGCCTAAAAATAAAGCCCCACATGTTGGATTTTCACAGAAGTGCCTCCCGACAAACTCTCAGGCTCGCTTCTCCTGTTCTCGAGGAAGAGCAATTTTTGCCCGGCTTCCCCAGCATCCATTACAATGCCCTGCGCTTCCTGCGGCCGTTACCGCTTGCTCTCACAGGAAATTAACTCAGCTTCAGCTACAGCTGCAAATTTTCTATCCAAAAGAGATACCTTGAACCTGGCTTAACCACGCTTCACACTCCAATTACCTTTCTCACAGGACAGCTGGGCGGAGGCCTCCTACATCATTTGTGTTTCAATCCCCAGCAGAGCCTGTTACATATTGAAAAGCTCAAGATTGTGGTAGGTGATTTCCCAGTTAATGCCTCTCAGGATCTCAGTACCCAGAAGAAGAAAAACATCTCCTTTTTATGGCATCAAATAATCCTACAGCTTCAGAAGCAAGCTCGGAGGATCAAAGGAGCTGACAGATTTGTAAACTCTTCGAGACAAGAGCATTTTAAGAGTGCATTGCAGACATTTTAAGAACACTTGCTCTTTTGGGACAGGAAAAAGCACTTGAGATTAAGACTGAAAAGCAGCAAGCCCTGCAAAATAAAGCTTCTTACCATGCACTGGCACCCACCCGGCTCTAAAGAAGGCAGGGAGAAAGGGGAGCAACTTTTCTCTCTGCAAGGCAGATTACAATCTTCTCTCAAGGAAGCTTCAGAGACGTGCAACTTCCTCCATTGCCTCCCCTTCCGCCCCTGAAACCTCAAAGCTGCTAAAACCCCACTGAAATGGGCCAACTATTTGGGTACGGGCATGAGAACGGGGCAACGCGCTCACAGCCACGTTCAGCAACCCAAATCCTCCAGCTGCGAAATGCTTTGCATTTAAAAGCAGAAGCCTCCAGCTTGCAACCTCAGGGCATTTAATAGCACTTTAATTAACGTCTGATCCCCGTTTCGAAAGGGAAACAGCGAGGTCAGGCTTTGGGAGGTTTAAGCTCCGCGGAAGGCGAGCAGAGGCAGGCCCCAGCACCTGCAGTGAGCAGCTCCGTGCCCGGGGCCCACGTGCGTCCTAGCGTGGGATCAGAGCTGCGAGCGTTTGGCAGCCAGGCCAGGCACTGCCAAGCTGCAGAGCAGCTCCGGCCCCCCCAAGAAGCCAGAGGGAGTCGGGGTGCTGGGCGAGGCGCCCACCTCCCCGGCTGAGGCTGGGATTTGCAAGCACGAGGTGTCTGACTCGCTCAAGGTCACGCAGCGCCTTAATAGCAGAGCCAGGAACAGCCCAGGATTCCCAACTCTCCGCCCTGCATCTTCAATTGCTAGCTCCTTCTTCCCTCGAGGAACATCGGGGATTTAATATTCTCTCCACCGCTTGGCGCAGAAACCAAACGGAGCACTTTGCTTTTACCACAGACGCAGCTTTGGCCATGGTGAAGCAGATGGCATTTCCTCCCAAGCCCTCTCCTGCCCTCCACCACCAGGTACAGAAGCCAGCCCGTGCCTCTCTTTCCAATATTTTAATGAGTCGCTACATCTTACACTCATAATTATAAAAGAATAAGAATCCATAAAAATATTTTCTTTTCATAATACGCACTTAAAATACTCCAGGGCAAGTCAACGTGGTTCATTTGGGTATTTTTTTTTTTTCTTCTTTATGCCCCTGGCAGAACCCTTGGCTTGAGGGGGGGTATGTGCTCCCCTGAGGTGCAATTGCTCAATCCCCCCTCCCCAGAACTGCAGTTCCTGTTGACCAGGTAAATAAAAACCAGAAGAGAGCATTTGCTGAGTAGATGGGCAAGGGGAACAGTCACTGACCCGCAGAGAACTGAAGCACAGCCAATTTCAGTGCACATCTGAAAGCTCGGGGTATCAGGGGAGAAGAAGGTAGGACCAAGAGGCAGCACAGAGAACGGAAGGAGGAAGGATTTGCATAAATATCATCCATCTTGTGTGGCAAAAACCCAAATGCTGCTGTGATCTCTGGAGAGATGATCTCTGGTTGTAGCCAGCTGCTTCAGCTGCCGTGCTACCTGTTGGCACAACTCTGGTTGTGAGCGGCCATGAGAGAAAGGCATGGAAGGACGTTGTTACCGACCCCAGCCACTTCCTCCATCTGCTCTGCAAAATTAAACAGAAAAATAGAAAAGACTAGTGTTGCATGCTTCTGTAGAGCTCTTCATATCCCCAGGGCTCCATGTTGGTGCAGCAAGGCCAGGACACAGCAGCAGCGATCAGCTCCCCTGGGGCTTAACAATAGGTAGTTCTCTCTTCCCTCCCGCTCCTGGCTTAAGGCAGCTTGCTGATTCAGCTCTTCCGTTTCCAACGCAGGCACTGAGTTCTTGCAGGTAAGAGTACAGGAACTGCAGAGGTGCAGCGGAAGGGAAAAGGACCGGGGAGAGAGAGAGATGGACATAAACCTCAGCCTTGGGAGACAGACCACTGTCCGTTGATTCCCAGGATAGAGGGAGTAGCAGCAAAAAAAAAAAAAAAAAAAAAAAAGCATTAACAGCCAGGCTGGAGGAGAGGAACAGGATGAGCAGCTGAGCAGGGGCAGACCTCCAGCTTGGAAAGTGAAAGAAGGTGGCACTGTCCAAAGGGAAGGTGCTCTCCACCCTCCTCCCTCGTTCAGGGCGAGACACCCCGACCTGGGCACTCAGCCATTTGTGCTCTGGGTTCGATGGCTGTCGGGGGAGGCAGGAGCGGCAGGGCACAGGAGGGGAAGGTGAGCTGTCAGTGTCCAGTTTGCAGAGGCTTGTGCTCTCAGAGGTATTCTTGTAGAAAGTGCAGCAGCGTGATTTCATAGTGCTCTCCTGACTCAGGGCACCGAATACTGTGTCTCTCATTGGGGTAGATCTGTGCAGAAGCAGAGACGGGACAATTAACCACGAGCAGCTCGTTCAGCACGGACAAGCTTCCCTCACACCAGCCCTCTTCCATCAGGACAACAGGGTGCCAGGGAGGTTTCGAGCACCAGCCCACCCCCTCATTGCCCTGGCGTGTGCTGCCACCCCCCTCGGTGTCTCACATGGCTGGTGGCAGCCACAGCTCCAGTGGAGAAGGAAAGTTCCAGGCCTGAGGGCACGAGCCCTGCGTGCAAGTGCTTACAGACACATTGGCCAGCAAGGAAGCAGCCACAGTGCCACCTCCCGGCCACCTCCTGGAGTCAAACAAGGCATTTACTATCACCTACACTGCATCAAAATGTGGAAGCATTTGCTTCCACCTTATTCCACTCCCAGGGCAGCGAGCAGGAAACTTTACAGATTTAACAGACCTTCCCACTTCACTCTTGTTCCTCCTACCTGCAGCTGGTAAGGTTTTCCAGCCCGGATTAGCTGTGATACCAGGAAGTTGGTGTGGAAAAAGTGCACATTTTCATCCAAAAAGCCATGGAGGATCAGCAAACGATTTGGCCTGGAGATGGGAAGAGAGGTAGGATGAGAATCCAAGCAAAAAGCTCTGCAGCAGGTCTGAGCAAAGAGCTGCCAGCTGGCAAACTAAAACAGAGCAATGACCAGGCAGCAGTCAGAGGAGTGTAAGGCCACGGATGAGGTCTTTAACCCCTCCCCTGGCAAAGGGGGGCTGCGGGAACAACGCCTCTGCTCACTGCAGGAGGCAGCCCCAGCCACGTGAGTTAAAATTAAACCAGATCAGAACCCATCCGTTCTTTTTGTGTTCAGCCGAGGTGCAGCTGGTAGCGGTTTTTCAGCAGATTGCACAACCCCACCGTACTCACTCATTGGGAAGCTTTTCTACGTGTAATGCCACAGAGCCAGCCTCATAACCTTGCTGGTTGTTTTCTGGGATATCCATGTACCGCTCAGTATACCCGGTGTCATATGCCATCCAAACTGTGACAGGAGCACCTGCTATAGCAATCTGTCAAACAAATAGGTGGCAGGAGACAACTTTAATTATCAAGTGCTAAAGAGTTCAAGCACTTCAAGAGTTCCCTGTTTTCCTGATGAAGCACAAAAAAAAACCAACACAGAACTGTTTGGAGCCTGTCACACAGACCAGAATTCTTCCACAACAAACCCACATAAAAACCTAGACTCCTCCTCACGCTATTTCTCTTAAAATCAGGCAAATTCCAGCATACCAGCACTAAAGGCTTCCCCCTTCTCAAGGAAGACATGCGGAATGATCCAGAAACTGTGCTGGGGGCTTGGGAAGGGCATTAGGAATAGCACATCAATTACCAGATGGGATGCTAGGCTAAGTCCTCCACTGACAGGCACTGGGGCATGACCCCATCCCGGACACCCCATCCTGCTCAGGTCTCAGCCAGTACGACCTGCAAGCAGAATGCAGGTCTGTAGGCAGGAGCTACAGGTGGGCAGGACTGAGGGACATTTTCACCTGTCCATCAAAACCATTGAGCAAATAAAAGCCAACACTAGACGGCAAGAGTTAGATAAGCTAAGAAAACCAAGAGTACCAAGATGATGCCCCCCATGTCTAGACTCACCTTGAAGACGTTGGGTTTACAGATAAGCCCCATGAGGGACAGAAAACCCCCGTATGACCAGCCGTGTATGGCTACCCGACTCAAGTCGATGAACCCGTATTTTTCTGCTACATAATGTAAACCTTCCACCTGGTCCTCTATCTCCACCTGGCCCTAAAAGGCAACAAGGAAGCTCAGGTTAGTGACTTTCTCAACCTAAAAACTTAAGGGACAGAAAAGGTGTGAGCAATGCTCAAGCCAGACAACCTTAGAAAGAACAAATGAGCAAAGAGTCGTTAAAAAAAATAATTACCATTTGGTTTTTCAGGGCCCCTTCAAACTTGAGTCCTCGCTGGCACGAACCCCTTCCATCAATTACCACCACAGCATAGCCTAGAGACGCTAGTGTGTTTAGCCGTAAGTACTTGATTCCTTTGAAAGAGTTATTCACCAGCTGCACCTGCAGAAGGAGGTTAGAAAAGTTTCAGTGCCAAGCAGCTGCCTTCCACTGTCTTCCTCTGTCTGTTTCACTACACAGGATCCTGAGCTGGACAGCAGCCACTAACTGAGCTATCACAGCCACACAAATCTGGACTATATGCTGGAAAAATCATCTGAGGTTTGAGGCAGAAGTCAGAAGAGACATCCAAAGTCCTGATGGTAAAATCAACGAAGTCATCTAGGTTGGAAAAGATCTTCAAGATCATCCAGACCAACCATAAACCTGATCTACTGAGTCCCATCGCTAAACCACATCTCTTAGTGCCACGTCCACACATCTCTTAAACACCTCCAGGGATGGGGAGGCCACCACTTCCCTGGGCAGCCCACTCCAATGCTCAGCCACCCTCTCCATGAAGAAATTCCTCCTAACGTCCAGTCTAAACCTCCCCTTGTGGAGTTTGAGGCTGTTTCTTTGTCCTATCACCTGTCACCCAAGAAAAGAGCGGCACCATCCTCACGGCAAACTCCTTTCAGTGACCAAACTACACAGAGCTCTGCCCTGGACAGCAATCCCGTGGCCAACACCAGCAGTCGGACGCCTGGATTATTACCTGAGGGCCTCCGTACACAAAGAGCACTGTGGGATGCTTCTTCCCAGGCTGGACATCATGAGGTTTGTACACCATTCCATAGAGCTCCACATCTGACTGAGTGCGGAAATGAAAGATCTCGGGCGGGATGTAATCCGGGGGACAACCTGCAGGAGGAAAGTTCACACCCAGTGCAGTAACTGACAGCAGGCTCTGCCTCCCACCTAGCCAGAAAAAGCTTATTCTGTTCAAACTTGACCCTAGTCAGGGCTCTTTCAATACCCAAACCATACCAAGACTTGTCAATGCCTTTCAGAGGATCCTCTCCCTGGGAAACAAAAAGCCTCTGTGTGCCTGCATAGGGCAATAGGCCATGTATGCAGTGAAAGGATCACCCATGAACACATCATCAGCTGAGAATCCTCAGGCAAGGCATGCTGTGCCATAATAGCAAGATGTGGGAAGCACATAAATGGGTCAAATGGAAAAAGCATTTGCAGAAAAGGTTCGGGTACCGCTCTGAATTGTGTCTAAGCCTTTAACGGCTACAGCCTTGAAATGAGGTAGCCACAACCTCCCAGATATTTGCCACTCTTCAGACAAAGAACAAATAAAGAAACACCTAAAAACATAATCAAATAATCCTGCACCACTGCTTTCACTCAAACCATGAAACTGTAACATCTTGAAAGCCAGTGTACTGTTTCCTTGATGAGCAATCCACTAGAGGTATCACCCCTGCAAGATAATTCAATTCATTTCCCCATAAAATGAAGTTACTTCAGCCACTTCCTTCTCCACCACCTTTGGCTACCATTAGTAGGAAGCGTATCACAGACAGAACCCAGCACGGACACTTCTACAGAACTTACTGGCTGCCTCCATCATGCTGGCCCAAAACTTGGGCTGCTTGTGGAGCGGGTCATCATCGGAGCCACTGAGCTTGTAGACATGCACGCAAGGTGGAGTGCTCACGCTGCTGTAGTGGCTGATGAACATGTCAAAATTCTATAGAGGAGAGAGAGAAGAGTTAGAGGGGAGCGAGGTCTTTCATTTCCCACATCCACTCTCCATGCAGTTCCCAGACAAAAGCTCCCACGTCTCAAGCAACCAAGACAAAGGAAGGGTCAGTAA